AAAGAGAAAGAATACTTTTACCAGAAAAAAGGGTTTCTTATGTAAGAAAAAAATTGTCGCAAGTTTACTGTTTTGCCAGTAACCTGAGAGCTGTTCTTAAACTTTAGTAACCATTTCTCTGGTTTGTTCAAAAAAAATGATTTTAAATAAACGAAAAGAAAAGTTTTCAATCTTATCTACCGTGTGATGGATTACTCACAAAATTATGTACAATGTAGCAGTTTGGCCAGTTGTTTTTTGAAAGAAGATTTTGTTCTTCAAAAATATGGAGCCTGTCTGACTTTACGGTCCAATACCAGTAAAGCGCCCGAAGTATTTACAAGTCAAAGAATTTGCAGCCAAATATGTTCCACCAAACTAAATGTGGTTTTATGACACGTTAAAGTTCCAAAGTCAAGATGGTCCACTTTCCGAGGAAAGTAGACCAAGATTGGTCAAGATGGTCCACTTTCCGAGGAAAGCTTTACAGACTAATTCACAGACTTTTATTGTGGTATAACATTTTAAGTAATGAAATACAGTATGCAGTTTAGAAAATTTGCTTGTTTGTTATTTTTTATTTCTGGTATTCTTTTATTAAATTAAAAAAAAAGAACCATCTACCATAAAACAGCTAAAGCCTATTTAATTTATTTTTAAATAGCACTTATGAGACTTAGTCATTTCTTTATAGTATCTTTAAAGTAACAAGTTTAACCTGCTTGGTGCAAAAACGAGGTAACTCCATGAGTTTATTTTTTTTATATTGTTGTTAATATTGATAATACAAAAACAAAATTTACAATAAACATACATTTTATATTAAACTAATCAGAACTGTGTAAAGAATTGAGAGAATATATAGAGAGAGTTGAATTGTTTTTGCACCGAGGTCTTCAATCAAAAAAGCTATCAGGTTTTGTCAACGAAAAGCGCTTGTAAGTTAAAAATCTTATAAAACTCCTAAAACATACATGATCCAAAAAAAAAGTTAAAAATCATAAATTATCCATGGTAAAGTAATACGAAAAAAAAGTTAAAACGCGTATTTATATTGATATTCAACTGCATAGATAGATAAAACAAAAAGTATACAATTTTTTTTTTTTAATTTAACAACTTCGCTTCCAACAAGGCTGCAACCAACCACTAATTAGTGTTGAAAGTTACTGGAAGAAAAAAGATGAAGATTGTAGAGCAAGATAACGATTGACAGACGACTTAAAAGATAACAAGTTATATGAATCAGGAAAACAAGAAAAAAAAGGTAAGTTCCAAAGAACTGATGTTCGAGAAAAAAAGCTTGAGGAATAAGAGTTTTTCAAGCACTTAGAGACAGTCAAAGAAAAAAGAAGAGATTTAATTGAATGATGTACTCATCATTCAATTAAATTGAGAATGAATTTTAGTAGATGGCACAAGAGACGCTAGCTCGTTAGAGCAGTGCCCATTATAGTATTTGTAGAAAAGAGAAGAGAAGCAACATTACGACGATGTAATAATGGTTGGAGGTTGGCTGCAAAAGCAGGCCCAACTATGTTTACAATGTGTTTTTGCACCTTGTCTATAAAAGAAAGGGCATTATTAGAAGATCAACCCCAGATACGGCAACAGTATTCCATACAAGGCTGGATTTGAGATTTATATATACAGACAATAGAATCTAGTGTAAGAAAGTTGAGCTAGATAAAGAAATGCAACCTTAGCAGATGCTAATTTTGCAACAAAGTTGATATATGGTTTCCAAGTAAAATCGGAAGTAAGATTTAATCCTAGAAGATGAAGGGTAGATGACTCATCGAGTACATTACTATTCATAAATATCGAAAGGTCTTAATGCGATAACGATTGGTTGAAAAAGTAGTGTTTTATCTGAATTAAAATTCACCAGCGACGGTGAGCCCCATGCTGTAGCAGAAGTGAGACCCTTTTCAAGCTCAAATGCCCCTTGCAAGCAATCAGAGGGAGTTGGCTTTTTATCGTGACAAGAATAAATGGTAGTATCATCAGCGAACAATGCCACCTTAGATGTGAGAATATCTGGAAGATCGTTAATGTAAATTAAAAAGAGTATAGGGCCAACGATTGAACCTTGAGAAACCCCTGAGGTTACAGATTAAGAAGAAGAGTGCTGTCTATTAAAAACAACTTTTATACTACGATTGGAAAGAAATGATTCAATAATTTTGTAGATGTTTCCGGATACACTGTAAGAAGAAAGCTTATAGAGAAGACCAGCATGCTCCGGAGAACACTTCTGCAAGACTATAACAGTTATGTTGTCCGGACCACAAACTGTAGAAGAGTCTAAGCAGGAAATCACTTTAGATACAGACGCTGGAGTGATACAAATGCCAAGCAATAGATCAACCTGTTTGACGGCTATATCAGGTAGAACGCAACTAGTGGAATCAAGAGATGATATTGATAAAAAGTTCTTAGCAAACAATTCAGCTTTGTCTTTAAGTAAGGTGACAAAGTCTGAACCATACAAAAGAGGTGGAATTACAGACTTGCCTTTATTACTGATACTATTAAAGATTCTCCAAAAGTCACAAGAGTCTAATTTTGTGCTGAAACACGAGATTTCATGATCTGATAATAGCGGGCTTTGGCGTTAGACAAAACCTTTATACAATGGTTTCTAGCAGTAATAAACAGACGTATGTTTTCTGGAGAATTGCTTTGCTTATAGATATGAAAGTAATGGTTTCCATTAGCAGTTGCAGCAGCGCAATGTGAGGAAAACCATGAAGAAGAGTGAGGTTTGACCTTGAACTGTCGAGAGGGAATAAAGTATTTTATGCCAGCTTGAATCCACAAAGCTATATAAGAAGCACATTTGTCAACTTGAAGACGAAGGATTTCTATCCAAGGGCCATCACAAAGAAAATTACGGAAAGAGTCCCAGTCAGCTTTCAGGTAGTTGTAAGATGTGTAAAAATGATAGGGGGATTTTGATAATAAAAAAGAATGAGATAATAGTTTTAGAGAGACTAAATCATGATCAGAAGCACCTAAGGATGAATGTGGAGAAACTGAGCACTGACTAGGATCAGAAACAAGACATAAGTCAAGTAGAGAAGGTAAATGATTCGGGTTGTCTGGAAAGCGAGTTAGAAAGTTGACTATTTGAGTTAGGGATTGAGAAAGGCAAAAGTTGTGGGCTTTAATGCCCGCAGTGTTATAAGACATATAAATAAAATAAGAAGTATAAACATATATTATCCAGAGATAATTATTATATAGAAGCTCAAAATAGTACTAACGTTAGTCAAGATTAATTTTAGTTGTATAAGTTCTTTAAGTTAAAACTAATGGAGGCTTTACACTGCTCATAAGTGACAAATTTTTTTTTCTTTTTAGAAGTTTTTAATTTTAGTACTTTTTACTTCAGGTTTCTTTAAATTTTTATTTAAAATTTTTCCAGTACAAGTGCCTCCTTGTATTTTTTTTTTTTTTAAATAAAAAAAAAAAAAAAAAATACATGAAGACAAATAAAATTAAATACAATAACGCGAACATCATGTGATTTAAGAATTTAAATCACGTGATGTTTGCCTCATTGTATTTTATAGCAGCTTTACTATAAGTTTTATTTTTATGTTTAAATTGTCTGTCATGCAGCTCCCACAATTTCTATTCAAATCTTCTGTTTTGAAATAACTAGTAAAGTATAGATTAAAAGTATAACTAATAGATAAACCAAAATAATATATATCCTAAATCAAAATAATATTGTCAACGATGTTCATCATTACAAGTGCCTCCTTGTACTTTTTTTTTTAAAATAAATTAAGAAAAAAGTAATACATGAAGGCAAATGAAATAAAATACAATGAGGCAAACATCACGTCATTTAAGAAATGGAACAAAAATACCCTAAAATACACCTCCATAACTTTAGAAAATTATAAAATAAAAATAATAATTTATATCAACCTACTATAGTAGGTTAATATAAATTATTATTTATTTAATTATTATTAACTATTTACATCAGATCCAAAAAAATTAGACAAACACCGAACAATTTTCATAAAACTATTAAGTTATAATGATAAAAAAAGAATTCTCTTTAACAATAAAAATTTACGTGGAGCTGGTATTTTTATCAATGAAGATTTTGCTAAAGAAATAATTGAAACGCGAAAAAGACTCTGGGATAAAGTACTAAACTTACGTAAAGAAGGTAAGTATGCTATTTTAAAGTTTGATAAGATCTATTGCAGAGAACGCAACAAATAAGTTTTTATCAAAATAAACCCTTCTATAGGTACACTTGTTAAAAATGAATGGCATTAATGTACGGATAGGTGTATCTTTCCTTTTTTTAGCAATATTTTGTTTTCCAAGCATTACGATTTTTGATGCGTTTTCTTGTAAGTTTTATTTTATTTACTTTAGAGTCACTTTCAGAAGTAGTTTGTACTAAGGTTGAAGAATCGGCACTTGCATTAAAGACAAAAATGTTACTTACACTAGACATAGAGCTTCTGAGGACAAAATTTGGGTCATTAACCAAATTGTCAAATATGCTGCTGTCACTTCCAATAGAACTGGACAAATTTTTTCTTTTATTAAGTAATGTCCATTAGGTAATGAAGTTGACAATTATCTTTATACTACAGTGTAATACAGTATAAGACTTTAACAAACTCTAGAAACAATTTAACCAAACTTACGAGTCTTTCAAAATCACAATGCGTTAGGAGTTACCTCATTTATGGACAAATAATTTTATTAAATTATTTGTCATTAATGACAAATAATTTTATTAAATTATTTGTCATAATTTTATTAAATTAAGAGTAAGGCAGGTAAAAAAAAAATGGGAGGGAAGAGGAGGATCACGATTTTTCGTTATTTACTGGATTACCAACTGTCGCATTTTTTTTAATGGGAAAAAAGTTTCAAAAAGTCCAAGAACAGCTTTTCAAAACTACAACAGTAATTACTGTTGTACTAAAGAGATACTTTGAGAAATATAAAACGCGCATTTTTTGAGGTAAAATTTAAAATTTACCATTCAAAATTTCATCTAAATCTAAAAAACATTTGAACAAATTTAAAAAAAATTGAAACTAGCACTTCTAAGCTAAAAGTTTTTAATTATTTAGCTAACAGTAAAATTTATCGCAATTTGACTTGTTCGATTTAATTTCCTATTTACGCCATAGTAATGTTTACTTCGTCAGTGATACGTTCATATTGAATTGTTTGCTCTGGCATAACCTAATATTAAAAAAATAACAATGCAAAACAAGATAAAATGTAAAAATAACAATAGTTACAATAAAAATAATAAATGCAGTAATAATAAAAGTAATAATAATTAAAACATCACAATATTAATGCCTTAAATAACCTCAAACTCTCCTGCATCGTCATAACGGTTTTCTTCAGGAGGATTCTTTAAAAATGTTATAATATAACCTAAAAAAAAATAGCATTAATAAAAAAATATTACGGCCCCATTTCTCTATTTTGGTATAAAACTATTAACTGGTTTGACTTTAAGAAGTTTTAAAAAAAAGTCAAACCAATAAATAGTTTCAAGCTAAATAAGAAAAATCTTTCATTCTTCTTTTAAATTAAAAATGCTTTACCTGTGATCAAGCCGCAAATGATAGCAAATGCCAATGTTACAATAATTGCTGCAAATTGGAAACCACCTTGCTTAAGAGGCGATCTTTCAGCTGATGCAGTGTAGATTGATTTGAAACTAAATAGTTACATACAAGTGTGAATTTTACCTAAAGTTTTCAATGATTAATATAATCTATTGTCTGTTAAATTTTTTTTAAATAAACACGACGCCTAGCCTAGTGTCAGTTATAAATAATATTTAAATCGAAAAATACAGCATTCTAAAAATAATAGATTCATGTCAAAATTGGAATTTAACGTTTTAAAGTTTTAAAATTGCAAAACTTTTAAATTTATATTTAAAAATTATTTTTCTTCTGTGTAATTATTTTAATAGTACTCTTCCATAGTATTCGATTGAGTATAAACTTTATCGCCTACTTTACATCTTAACCTTTACAGCCGCACCACACATTCTGTTAAATATTATCTATTCAGTTCTTTCAAATGCTGGACATTTGAAAGAACTGTGGTGTGACCACCAATATTTTACTGAAATATATGATAAAACTCTGGTGTTTAATTTTTCTTAAAATTTTAGTTCATAAACTGCATGCAATTTCACGAAATTTATTAATTACGGCCCAGGCACACATTACTCTCGCTTTTGATACCTTTTCTGCTCCTCCAGCTGATCTAATTGTACCTCCAAAATAAAAAAACTTTCCAGAACATTCTATTTTTCCACTGCTATCTATTTGAATCTCTTTTAAAATTTCTCTTTATTTAACAAAAATGCATTTTTTACGCTCTAATATCCAAAAATATTAGGTGCACCTTCTATAGCACTACATTTCTTGTGAGTCCACTGTTTACAAACTATAAAAAAAAAACTTGAGAAAATAAAATACAATCCTCGGCTACAATTTTTATCTAAAGTATTTAAATTTTATTTGCTACTATTATTTTTCATTTGTTTTTAATTTAAAAAATATTAAATCGCAAGCTAGTATTATATAAGTGTTTTACAAATTTTTGACACGACGGATTAGCACAACAATTGTGCAAAAGTGGATAAACTTTTTTTACATGTAGAAAATAAGTATTTAATGTATTTAAGATATGGTGGCACATTTAGTTCAAACAAAGAAGCATAACAAACTATCTGGAGCACAATGGGCACTATACGTGTTTAAGGCGTATAAAATACTAACTATTACCTATAAAATGCTAATTAATACTTTTTAATAATGCGTACTTAACATGACCACTTTCTAGTATTTTAAATTTGTTCATTTTAGACGTCACAAAGCATAGATTTAGGTCTATTTATGTTTATCCTAAACTAATTTGCTTTCATTTCCTCTTTCCAAAACTAAAGACTTAGTATGTATAAAGTATTTTTCTGTATCTGCAATCAAGTGTAAATCATCTGTATAAAATAGCCCAGCCATAAACCAACACTGATCACTGAACCCTAACGTATGCTAACCTATACTTCGAAACCATCACTTTTTCCAGCTTTTTTTTTATTGCAATTGGGAAATTTCTTTAAATAACCAAGATAACTGATAAATAACAAGATAAATTTTAATCAATTTTGTCTTGCCTATCGTGCACCGCACCTATGGAATAAACTTGTTTTACCTAATGTTGATTTTGATTGACCAAATTCTTTTTGTCTTTTTAAAAACAAAATTAAAAATCTAATTTTTTCCCTTGATAACATTTTAGAGTAATATTAATTAATTTATCTTTTATTTAACTTTTTATTATTTTTCCCTAAAGTTTTGTTGTTAACAACTATTTATATATTATATTTGTATTGTAAAACGACTAACTTTGTAAGCTGAAAAAAAAAAAAAAAAAAAGATATATTTTACTGTAATACATGATAAAACTCGGGTGTTTAATGTAATGGGTAAATTTCATTAAACAACCAAGATAACTGTTACCAACCATTCTACAGCACCTAAAATACCTAAAAGTCCACTATACCTCTTTTGAAATACCTAAAAGTCCACTATACCTCTTTTGGTATTTTGTCAAATTTTTTCAAGGTCTGAAAATAGAAACATTAAGTATAAAAAAAAAGTCGGAAAAAAAATGTTTACTCCTCTGCAGAGTATTTTCCAGGGGGAATAGCAATAGCACAAATTGCTGCACAACAAGCACCAAATAGAGCTGGCATCCCATGCAAATTATGTACGCCACATGTATCATGGATTGAGAGTTTATTTAGGCGAGGCTAAATAAAAGAACAAATACATTTATTACATTTTAATAAAGGTATACAATCACAAAAACAATATTATTAAAAAAATTATTCGCATATACAAAAAGCTCTGTAAAGACATAGTATGTCCTAACAAGCTATGTAAAACTCTTGTATACTTTAAGAACAACAGTACCTAACTAGTTCTATAAACTCCTAGATTTCCTTTGAAACTTTCTGACTACAAAGTAAACTTAGAAATTAACATATTTTTAAATATTAAATGCGTATTAATTATAACGGAAGTGTTAATATTTTTATTTTGAAAACGATATTAACTATAGTAAACAAAGATGTGTTTAAATATGTCAATTTAATTATAAATAATTATCATACTTTCAAGTGCCAGATTTTAAAATAATTTTCAGGTTAAGCTAAATTACAGAGTCTCGTTCTCGTAAGGTAACACACGTCTGTTAAGAATGCCTTATTTTTAGTGGCTCCTTTAACCTTGAAAAATAAATGCAGTAAAAAAAAAAAAGTAGTATACTTTGAATATAATTTAAATTGACGGACTTTCAACGTTGTTTTAAAAATATTTTTTGTAACTAAATTATTTTGTAAATTTTAAACATTATTAACTTGTGAAACTACCCAATGGAAAGCTCGTTGAACTAATGTTGTAACTATACAAAAAGCTGTGAAACTATGGCATGTTGCATATCATATAATATTATAGCAACATTGTTGCTATAGTATTTTATGCTACTAGCTGTTAGTCATTAGCTTATTGCTAAAACTATTGAAAAAGGTTAGTAACCACTGTTCAAAAAAGTTGATAACCACTGTTCAAAAAGGTTGGTAACCACTGTACAAAAAGGTTGGTAACTACTGTTCAAAAAGGTTAGTAAAACCTTTAAAACATCGCAGGAAATCTGTAAAGACACCACACCCTCTATCTGTAAAGACAACAAACCTTTCCGACGGGCATTTGTTTTTAAAAGTTACGTTCTAAATGTATTTTAAATGTCTTTTAAACGTCTTCTAAACATTCTTACGCAAGAAACGTTTAAAAGACATTTAAAATACATTTAGAACGTAACTTTTAAAAACAAATGCCCGTCGGGTTGTAAAGCTGCTAAAAACAAAACTAATTTTTTAGCAGTGCTCGAGAAAAGTGCAGAGAAAAAAAAGTAACAGGATAGTATACGGTAAATTAAAAAAACCACCCCGCCTAATCATTGTTATATATTAAGTTTTATAAAAAGTTGACGGGATGGCATTCCGCCGTATCCCGCCCCACTTCGAGCACTGGTTTTAAGTATATAATATTACAGTATATAGTATAATATATAGTACAGTATAGTATTATAGTATAGTATAGTATAGTTGTAAGTATATAACTGAAGCAAGTATAGAAGACACAACCATTGCTTCAATTTACAAAACAAAACAGTTAGAAATCTGAAATAAGGAGAAACAGTTAAACCTAGTAAAAAGTTTAGAATTTAAGTATACCGTGAGATAAGTGAAACCAAGAACGCAAATAGTAGAAGCAGTCAAACCAATTAACATTGCTCCCCAAGGTCTAATTAAAAGGTCACTGGATATTCCAACAGCTACACCTGCAGCTATTGTTGCATTCTGCATAAGTACCTGTTTGAATTTCAAAAATTTCAATAAATCAGCGACGTAAAAACATAAATAATAAAAATAATAAAAACTAGTTACAAAAACAATTAAATATATAGAATTAAGTTGATTAACATTAAGTAGTAAATAACTCAAAAAATATTATTCTTAAAAATTTTTGTCATTTTATTTAGGATTTTATTTTGGGTTAAAAAATACTACTTGATAAACACTCATTTATCTTTCACTTTAATACATGTTTTGAACATTTATTTTTTATTCACTACATATAATATTTATGATATATATTGGAATAGCAAAAAAAATTTAAGTTTAAAGCTTAGTTCTTTACTGGAGAAGTTTTATAAATTTTTATAAAGCATTACTAGTAACAGTTTTATAAAGCATTACTAGTAACAGTTTTAAATGTTAATTATCAAGGTGACTAAACAGTTTCAAAATTGCTATTTTTATTATTTTTTTACATTAATGCCTAAACTTACTTTAAACGGTTTATTTATATTAATGCAATGGCATAAGAGGTAGCAAACAAAAAAAGTCAACTCAAAAAAACAATTACTTTGTAATAATTCTATTGAATTATAAAATCACTTTGTAAGTAAATAAATAAATAAAACTGCTTAATAAGAATTGCATAATAAAGTAAATATATTGCTTAATAAAGTAAAATGATTGCTTTCATTGTGGCTTTTCTCAGATTTGATTGTAAGAAGTTAGTGTTTAGAAACTTCTGCTTCCAAAGTTATCCTAAAGTTTTTAGGGTTTAAGTCTGTTGAGTTGCCCAACCACCGAGCAAGAACATTAAGGGTTGAAGTGCGAGAAAAAAAATTAGAAAATAAAAGTTTTTAGAGAATGCAGGGACAGATATAGTAAAAGAATGAGACTTTGATGAATGATAAGTCAAGCGAGAGTCAAGTTTTAGTTGATGGAACAAGAGACGATAGCTCCTTTGAGCAGCAACCATGATAGTATTTGTAGAAAAGAGAAATAGATGCAACTTTACGACGATAGGAAAGAGGTTCAGTCTTTGCAAATAGAGCAGGTCCAACTATGCTTAAAATGTGTTTTTAAACTTTATCTAGAAGAGAAAGAGCATCATTAGAAGAACAAGCTTAATCATGAAAACAGTGTTTCATACAAGGATAAATAAGAGATTTGTAGAGGTAGAGAATGGAATCAGGAGTAAGATAATGAGGAATACAATAAAGAAAAGCAACCTTAACAGATGCTAATTCAGCAATCGATTGTATGTATGGTTTCTATGAAAGGTCAGTAGTGAATAATAGTCTAAAAAGATAAAAAGAAGAGGACTCAATGAGAAGATTTATATTCATTTATATAGGAATGTTGACAGTATATCGATAGTTGTTTACAGTAAATAACTGAGTCAAGACAGGAATATGAAGTTGAGCCATCACTGAAAAAAAAATTCAAATTTAAACATTAAACATTTTCTTTATCTCTTATTTTAATCTTTTAATACTCTTTCCGTAATTTTTTTTTTGTTATTTCTATTTATTTTTTTCTGCTTAGCCTTTCTACTGTTAAGTCCCTAACTCTTTCAGGGCGTGAGGTTTTCGTTCACTGGTGTTCAATGACTTTTTGCTGCTATATTTTTAAGGAACAAAACTTTTTATGTGATTTTTTTTTTAATTATTACATCATTAATAGCCAATCAGAAACAGTTGATTATCTAGAAATTCTATACATTGTAAATACAAAACTTAAGGATTAAAGATAAATAAAAAATACAAAACTTAAGCATTAAAGTGTTTAAGTTTTTCTAAAATGACTTCGAAAAAAAGATGTAATCTTTTGGTAATTTATATTATATATATATATTTAAAGAAAATAGAATTTAATGAAAATTTAATTCCGAATAATATTGAATATAAAATTTTACCAAATAAAGTTCAACGTTGAATCGTAGTAAACACAATGTTGTGCCAACTTAAAATACAACGTTGAAATAACGTAAAATACAATGTTGGGCCAACGTATAAAATAAAACGGAGAAAATATAACCATTTTCCGACTTTAAATAAACGTTTTATAAGTATTGCTTTTCAGTTGTTGGCGATGTCGCATTTGTAACCATAATGATTTAAAAACAACGTTGGCAGCTGATGTTAAGCCAACGAAGTGCGCGACATTGTTCTAATGTTTCAACAACGTATGTGTGCTAGCTGGACTAGGTAAATTTTAGATTATTTTATATAGAGACTATAATGTTAAGACTCTTCTGTTGGTGGTATGAATAGTAAAAAAAAAGATTTTTTCTAATTGTACAGAAAAGATTTTTTCTAATTGTAATGCACCTGAGTGCAATGCCGCCTTACACTGCAGCAAAAAACTATTTTTTAATACGACATAGCTTAGATTTTCAAAAAAATAATCAAGTATTTATTTTAGAAGTATGATGTATGATATTTTGTATTATTATAATATTATTTTCCCTGTTTTTTGCTAATGTACCCCAAAACAATAAACCACCTGCCCGGTCATAATGAATATTTAAAAAAATATATTTTAGTATTCTGATTGCCCATATATTAGGTTCTATATCATTAATATATAGTTTTTACATAAGACTTCCTTATAAACTTCTAGATCAACTTTCGTATAAAAATATTTCTTAAAACCCCTAAAAAAATTGCTTCTTTTTCCACCATTATGAATTTTAACTCCATTAATGTATAACATTATATACTTAATAATATAATGTATAACATTATATATATATATATATATATATATATATATATATATATATATATATATATATATATATATATATATATATATATATATATATATATATATATATATATATATATATATTTCATTCCTCAATGTAACTTTCTTAATAATTGTATAAAAATAAAAATTCTTTGTCAATAATTGCAGAAAAAATCTTTAATGAAAACTACTTTTATCTTTAACAATATCAGGGATACAACAATTAACAATCTTCAAAATGTCTGTGATGGAACAAGTATATATTCTTGTCTTGATAAACTGCCAGCATATATAATTTATCATAATAAATATTTATCTCATGAGCGATTGAAACTAACAGCTGCTTAAGAATTTTAACTCAAAGAAAACTGGCAACCAAAACAGCTATTGCTTCATTATCAATTTTTAAATGCTAAAATTCTTAGAGCTAGTTCGCATTTTTTTTCACTATTAATTTTTTTTATATCTAACAATTTTATACCGTAAACTTCCGGTTAATCAAACCTCCTAGGAGAATAAGAATTTACTTCTAATAACTGAAAATCTTGTACCGAATAAAGTTTGTTAAGGAAAATTCACGGGATTTGAATACGTGCCAATTTGAACAACCAGGAGTTTACTGAATTTAACTTTTTGATATATAAAATTTAACTTTTATATCCAAAAGTAATTTTTTAATTTTTAATATTATGTCTAGGTTCCACTCAGGGTTTTCATGTGGTTTGGTTTATTTTTAAGAATAAAAAAATACATTATGTTCAAATCTTAAAATATATTTTTTATTTTATCTAAATCTTTTAATCAAACTGCACAAGTCTCAGATTATTTTGTAAATACCATTATTTCATTTTCTTTTCACTTATTTTTTAGTAAATGAAAAAGTTTATAATTAAGTTTATAAATAAGTTTAAAATGTTTTTTTAAATTTAAAATGATAGTGCAGTAGCACTTTGAATTTTGTTTTTAGTAGTGACATCAATTTGCTACCAGAAAGGGTTTATGTGATTTCACTACCAAATAAAGAGTCCTTATTTAGCAAGGTGAAGGTCAAGTTGCACCACCGCGCAGCTCCGAATTTAACCTAAACTATTTTTCTGCGTAACTATGTGTACAATATATAAGTACAGTTACATAATAAAATCATAACAAATAATAACAAATACCATTTTGAATTTATATGATTTATTTACTAAAGATGAAACACCAAATGAGGTTACAGCTCCAGCTGCCAAAGCAATGTACGTATTGATTACTGCTCTGTTAATCTGCAAAGGTTTACCAACGAGAGTTCCTGCATTAAAACTTGGCCAAAATACCCATAGAAACAATGTACCTAATCAAAATTTAGTAATAAAATTATAACTTTATGACTTATATAAACTTAACAAATTAAAAACTGAAAAAAGTTTTTTACATATATTGTTAAATAAGAAAAAACAATATAAATACAACATAATAAGTCATAAAATATAAAATAATATGTGAGCACAAAGTAAAGTACAGTTAAGCAACAAAAATGGAAAAAAGTTTCTTTTTTACATTTTATATACTGAAACCTGACATCTATTGAAATGTGGTTTTTAAACTTTTTGCACTCAAACTTTGTGCGTTTTGCAAATGGGCTCCTCAGTTATTAAATTTGTTTAAAATGGTTCATATAAAATAAAAATGTTGTTGATAAAATACGTAAAACAAAAAACAGAATCAAAAATTATTAAGCATTTTTACCAATCATTGAAAAAATATCTGAATTATAACTAGATGATTCCTTTCCATAAGGATCTCCTGAATTTTTCAGAACAAATGCAACTGCTAAACCAAAATAAGCTCCAAACAAATGCAATGACACAGTTCCTCCAGCATCAGCAGTTTCAAATATATCAGTGATAATATTATTATTTACAACATATATTATAGTTTCAATGATGGCAATTACGAAAAGTTGTAAATGACTTGCTTTACCAAGAATAGCACCGAATGTAATCAGAATAGGAGTACATGATATGTCAGCAAATGTTACACTGAAATTTATGCAAACAACATTATTTAATACATATTTAATATATATTAAATAATTTAAAACAATTGAATAATTAGATAATATATATTAAGTATAGTTTAATTAAATACATGTATAATTTTTTTATATAATACTGCTTTTGTAATAAGAAATAATTTTTTTATAAATATATATATATATATATATATATATATATATATATATATATATATATATATATATATATATATATATATATATATATATATATATATATATATATATATATATATATATATATATAGTGCTCGAAGTGAGGCGGGATGGGGCGGGATAAATAACAGCGGAACTAAAGTCTCAGCTGTTATTTAAAAATTTGCAGTAGAAAGTTCAAAAACTAAATCGATAATTATAAAACATTGCATCTTTTCTTTTGTATTTTAAATAAAAAGTTACCAAGCAACAAAAAGCAACATTAGCTTTTTTTTTCGTTAAAGTATCATTAGAGTTTTTTTTGGTGAAATAAAATATAGTACACAGTAGATTTACTCAACATTAAATGTTATGGCTTTAAAAAAAATTTACTTATTATAAATATGGATAAATGGCTAGCAAGCGGAAAGAAAAGAAAGTTAAGCAGTGATAGTTCCAAAAGTAATTTGGAAAATGACACTGAAATAAATAAAGAAGTGACAGTTTTTTCAAGTATTGAAACTTGCCAATCCTTTCCTCAATGTGATAGTATTTTTCCAGATTACTGGTCTGATTTACAGTGAAAAAAGAAATTAAAAAAATTTGACTGGTTGACAGTTTCATTAACAGGTCTTGGTTGTTCTGTTTGTAAGTCAGCAAATAGTTTAGGTGCCGAAAAATCTCAAGGAATAAAATTGGTTAGCGAGTGGACGCTTGGCAACGTTAAGGAGTATGGCAAAACAAAAGAAAAAAAACAACAATCAATGAGGAAAATGCGTTCAAGTCATAAACTATCAGTTGCACACGAAAAAGCTTGTAAAATTATTTCTCAGTCCCAAAAAAAACACCATAGAGATGTTTAGTTCAAAAATGCAGATCAATCAGCACGAAACTACCTACTGCATATTTTGCACTGTTTATCACAATGCAAAAATGAATCGTCCATTTTCTGATTTGAAAGAATTAAATTGTTACAGGTAGAAAATGGCTTAGACATGGGACGTATTTTACAATCTGATCACACATATGATATTGATTATCATATTTCAAATGAAATGCGCACTAAGCTTGTAAAGTATATTCTTCATAACGATAATAAAGTAGGGTTTATGATAGCCGAATCTACCACGATGAGCAAAAAGTCTGCTCTGTCAATCTGCTTGAGAGTGAACATTCCAGAAATAAATATTGTCAATAGTATTTTTTTTGATCTTATCGAATTAACAAATACAGAAGCCTCGTCTATTGCAAACTCTTTTATATGTGCTTTAGACGATTTTGGTTTTGACAACAATTTTTTATAACGTAATTGGGTGTCTTTTGCATGTGATAGTGCTTCTAATATGTTTGGCAAAAAGGCAGGCGTGGCCCAGTTACTTTTGAATCAGTTTCCTATTTTGATTTTATGGCATTGAAGCAATCACCGATTAGAGTTAGCAGTAAATGATGATGTGCGCGATATCTTAACAATTTGTCACATGAAAAGCTTTTTTGATAAATTTTATTCCATTTACAGTGCATCTACTAAAAACAAAAAAGAACTGGAAACTGTTGCTATGGCTTTAAGTGTAAAACTAAATTCCATTGGACGAATTCTAGGCACTAGATGGATGTCGTCTAGCGCTTGATCTGTGATGGCTGTTTGGAATAATTATGCAGCATTGTACCAACACTTTCATGAATCTTCATTGGATTTAAGGCGTAATGGAGGAGATAGAGCCCAATATGCAGGTCTTAAAAATTAAAATATGTGATATCAATTTCATACTCAACATGGGACTTATGCTAGATGCTTTAATAGAACTAGAACATCTAAAAAATTCTAAAATATTACAAGATAGGCAAACTTCTTTACCTGATGCACATCGGCTTATCACCTTAAAATATATATTTCAATATATTTCAATTAATGAGAAATAATTCAGGTGAATATTATTCGCAAACGCAGCTTGCAGCAGAAAAGTTTAAATTTAAAGGCGTAAAACTACAGATCGGAAAAGTTTCTAAAATTAATCAAAATGAATTTTATAGTAAACTAAGTTAAAATCTTGATTCTAGAATGTTTACAACTAGAGATGCGCATAAATCTTTAAAAGACAAAGAAATTGATCGAAACAAAACAAAATAAGATAATAAAAAATTTACAAATTTTTGATAAGCCACAATGGTTTGCAGACCAAGATCCATGCTTTGGAGATAACTTAAGACAGTCCAAGGGTTTCGTGAATACATTTTCACTGGTGACTGTAATAAAACCCCTAATGATCTTCAGCCTTTGAGAACTGCTATAAATACCTTGATTGTTTCAACAGCTGAATGTGAGCGTTCTTTTTATACTATAAATATAATCTTATCTTCTTTGCAAAACTAATGTTCATTTCATTAGTAGGTCACCAATTACGCATTTCGATCCAAAGGATTATGTAATTAAGTGGTTTGGGAAAGGACATTGCGATGCTAATTTTAGGAATTGTGAAGTGCCGGTGTCACGAAATAAATGTTCCCCATTATATGTTCCCGCATCAATCTTAAAAAAGTAAGTGTCAAATAAAGTTTTTTTACACGGTGTTTTCACTAAAGTCGCAATCAAATGATCTAAATTTTAAATGCCAAATTCGGTTTGAATACTAAATTAACTAAAAGATTCTACATTAAAAAAATAAAGTTTTACTTTATTTTTTTAATGTAGTTTTGTTTTTGTTAATGAAATACTGGGAGCCATGTGAAATTTTTACATTGTTTACATAACAACGTTCCTTAGAATAGGTCATATTTAACGTTAAGGCATGTTATTTAATAATTAAAATACCTTAACAATCATTACACATTTGTTATCAAAAAAAAAAGGTTTTAGCAAAATTTTTATTGGGGTAACATATTTTACGGGCGGGGAAGAAATATTTTATCCCCCCGGAATATTTATTCTAGAATATATTTTCCGAGGGGAAAGTTTATCCCAGTACATACCGTAGAACGGGGTGACTTTGATACGCGGGGTGACTTTGATAATTTCGTCTGTTAGTTACAAAAATAATGATTTGAATGTGAAATTGCACAATTAGAGACTATTTTTTTTTTATTCTTGTACATAATTATATTCTGCTAATATTTTTGAAATTTTAATGATTGTGAAGTGATTCTAAATTGTGCAAATGTGTTAGGAATAACATGACTATAACAAAAAAATAACGATTTTTACACGTACCAAAAAATGCCAAAAAATCTTGTGATTTTAATTTTTTTGAAATTTTTTTTTCTAAAAATCTATACTTAGATGTTCAAGTGGTATTTTCCAGTTATAATACCACTGGAATATACCACATATATATGTTTTTTTTTTTTTTTTTTTCTGATATCTTTTTAATTTTGAATTGAGTTAACAACTAAAGGATATTATAAGTACTTAATATTTATATGCAACTAGTATTATTTTTTTGTTAGTGTTATTTTATAACTGCTAATTACTATAACAATGTTATTGATATATTATTTTTCTGTGTTTAGCATATTAACATCAAATTTATTTTTGTTTTTTCTTTGTCCATTCTGTAGATATATTCGATAACCAAACTTGTTGTCTAAATTTATAATTTTACCAGTAAATCTTATAAGTTTATTAATATGTTGTGTTCTAATTTAGTAAAAGTCAAAAAGAAAGTATTAGCGACACTGTAAAGAGGGTTAAATCAATAAGCCATTAAGAAATAATAGACTATCAAAGTCACCCCAAACGACGGGGTGAGATTGATAACATTTTGGATTAAAAATATATATATTAAGACAAAAAAAAAATTAAAAATATTTAATGGAATTATATAAAGGAAAGGTATAATGTTATAACGGGAAAAAAAAAAATCAGAAATTGTAATGAATCAGATTTATTTTGCAAAAATGCTCAAAATCCTAACAAAGTCACCCCGTTCTACGGTACTTTCCGGGGGAAAAAAATATGGAGGAAAAACTTGTTATGCGACACCGGCATTAAAGTCTATAAATGAAAGTGAAACATTTTGGAGCATTTTATGACCGAATATTTTTTCAATTATTTAAAAACTGGTAAATACAAAAAAAAAAGACTTGTTTAAAAATAAAATGTTTAAACATACAATTGTTTTTTGATTGCTTAATGACGTTTGATGTGAAACTCAACTCATTATTTTACGGCAACAGTCTCTTAAGAATATAACGGACCTCAAGTTGTTTTTTAATATAGGTTTTTTACTATAGGGATACTCTAGGGATTTATAATTCCTTAATTTAATCTATATACAAAACACGAAATCTATAATTTTAGGATAGGTGGGATATTGTCGCCTCAGAGGGCAGAGGTTCTATCTCCATTTTGGGTAGTTTTGCAGGAGAACAAAACAATGTTTTTTGTTAAAGTGTTAATGTTTTTTGATCAATTAGAACTATCAAACATGATAGGAATAATTCAACTTTTTTGAAATTATTAACATTGAAGAGAGTATGGCACAAATTTTAAAAGTCATCATGGAGATAGAACCTTTGCCTAAATTAATTGCGAGTTGAATGGAATTTTTGAAATTTATAAACATAATGAATCCAATTAAAATTCTTTTTTAATTAATACAAAATGCTTTTTATGATTGTGTAAACTATCAGTTAATGACAATCATGGTTCAAACTTTTTAAAATTAGTAACATTTTGGGACAAATTTTACAATTACCATGGAGATAGAACCTTTACTCAAATTAACTGTGAATTGAACAGAATTTAAAAATTTGTAAACAATGGTTTTGTAATCAATGTTATTAAATTCTAAGTGAAATCTTAATCTTAATTAGCAGAAAAATCAGAAAATTGTT